TAATCGTATCTAAAATGCGGATTATCATGTAATGTTAGTCTTGAACTAATGACTTACTCCCTTATTTTTGTGTGTCTTTTATGATAATCTCATTGTAGGTAAACGAAGGATTTGAGGAGAAGACTCACTTAAGAATTTATGCGCTTATTAACTTGGATTTCTTTATCTATATTTTGTATTGTAGTTGACTAGACACTATTTTGGGATAAATGTAATTCTGATTATGGTAACATTGGATATGTGTAGTTATGGGCATAGTGATTCTTGGAAACTCATAACTAGTTGTATGCGATAGTTACTAAGTATTAATTGAATGAATTATGTTTTTCTGCAATATGAAGTGTATGGTAACATAACTTGTTAAAAAGTAGTTTTATGGAATAATCAATGAGGGATTTAAGTGAGATGATGAATGTATGCATGAAAGGAGTAAAATAAAGGAAAAAATTTCAAGGGTAGAATTTGGGTCCTTACAAGTTATTTATTCTTCCATCTGAATTTCTTTCAGCAATTACTTTTAACTTGAGGTTTGGAACACCACCATGTCTTAATCTTTCACTTGTCATTCTGAAAGATTTTGCATGCACATTGTTGTCATACAACATCTTTGACAATTTCATAACCACTTGTGAATCAACATTGTTATTCCTAACATAATGAATTAGAAAGAAGAAATTATTAGAGGGACTGCATTAAAAATAAGGAATAAAATGTAAAGCATGACTTATTTACTTACCTTATTCCATTCATCCTATTTTTAATTTCATGTCCGGTATCATAAATATATAGTTGGGCAAACATTGGAAATTGTCCCAGCATAGGCAACATGCTACCAATATGATGACATGGTTGTCCTTGAATCCTGATTGTTGGTGGACCTCCATCATTATTAATAGATCTATCAATCTTGGCTCCTAATGAGGTGAATGCAAATATCATGTTGTATAGACGAATATTATTTTGGTAATTCACACTATCATTTGATTTTAAATCAAAGAGAAGATGTTGAAGGATGGGGGAGGTGCTCTTAGTAATGGAATTTGAATTCTTCCTTCACCACAACAAAGTTCATACTTGGGACATGTGGTATTACGATGTTTTCTCTTTCGTTCTTGATACCACATACATGCTCCACAATGTTCACATTCAATAACAGGATCACCGATATCAAAATATCCTAAAAAATAAAATAAAGTTATAGTCTATATTTATTATAATGTAATAAAACATACATTAAAATTACAAATTACCTTCTTCAATGCCAATTAATGATGTGAAAGATGAATTGTCAAATTGTTATTCATCTTCTGAACTATATTCAATATTTATTCCTTAAAAACATAAAGAATAAATGGTGTAAGTATGAAATAAAGAATTTACATTTATTGAATAGTATAAGTATAATTAAATATCTTTCATGGAATATTCATCATTGTCATCATCTTCATTATTATTGTCATTGGGGAGATTGTCAGTAAAAGTTTGACTTGTGGAAAAGGGGAATAAATTTTCTTTATCTTTTTCAGCATTTGTGTTAAATTCATCTTCATAGAGGGTATGATATCTACTCATCAGGTTTATGCCCAATGATGTGTGATTGATAAATGTCTTTTTCCTTGTAAACTCATGTATGGTACTTGGTTGAGTATGAGAAGAAGAACTTGATGCTCCATTACTCTTGAGCAAACTATATTTTCTATCTCTTTGATTGATACAATTTTAAAAAAATTGAGAAATAGGTGTTCTTTCAATTACAGAAGGCGTTGAGTTTAGAATATGAACATCCTTTGATGAAGATTGTTGTATTTTTTATCTTGAGAAACTTATCTCATTCTCACGTAAAGCACACTTTTTTTTCGTGCAATTGAAGCAAAATTGTTAAGATTAATATTATCCATATCTGACTGAAAAGAGAAAATGATGTATAAGAAAATCAAAATAAATGTTATAAGAATATCAAGTTATATATTGTTTTCCTGTCAAAGTCAACACTATAGTGAACCAATTATATTGTCTTACTTTCAATATGATATTATATTCTTAAATTAATCTATATATCTTTTAGTCTACATATTTATAGATTTTCGGTTTTTTTAATTGAAAAAAATCAAAAGACAACTATACCCTTGAAAATGATGTATAAGAAAATCAAAATAAATGTTATAAGAATCTCAAGTTATATATTGTTTTCCTTTCAAGGTGAACCAATTATATTGTCTTCCTTTCAATAGGATACTATATAATTAAATTAATAAATAGTTCTTTATAACATATATGGGTAACAATTGATAACAAAATATTACTTACATAATCATGCTACAAATACATTCTCCTATATGAACAAAAAAATTATTAGTTACATAACCATGCTAAGAACAAAAAAGAGAGGAAATTATAAAAATGAATTAAACCCATTAAAAAATTACAAAAAAGAGAGTATAAATCCTCTGATTGTGAACAAAAATAATAATAAAACGAAAAATCTTCATAATAGTGGTCACTAATGTTTCAACTCAGGGAAACACAGTGAAAAAATGTAAGCTTTAAAATCTTCAAGTTAATAGCATTACCTGTATGAAATTCAATTCCAATATTAACATTGTAACAAAGATTGTTTCAACACACATTACAGAAAATGGGAGAATAAGAAAGAAAATAACATGAAAAAACACAGCTTAGAATTAAGAAAGTTTTGTTCTATACCTTGGGAGATGACAAATAGAGGTGGAGAAAAACACATGTTAGTGGAAAAAAAAACACATGCTAGTCAAGAATTTTTTTTGTTAATATAATCAGTTAGTGTATAATAACAGATGACGAGATGAATTATTAAAGAAAAACAACTTACCTTATATTTGAAAACAATTGATAATCATGTGAAAACAATGTTAGTTTGTAATCTTCAAGTTAATAGCAATCCTTGTATGAAATCCAACAACAATATTAACAATGTTATGGACAGATTCATTGCTAAAAATGTAACAGAAAAATGAAGATGAAAATGTAGAAAGAAGTTTTTGTATTTACCCCAGTAGATAAAAATATATGGCTTTAAAATATTTAGTGATCGAACATGATTAATAATTTGTTTCAATCTGATGTGGACTAACTAATGGAATTAGCTACTTAACATGATTATCAAATTGAAGCAAGAAAATTAGCTTTGCATTAAACTCAAACAGCTTATATTAACAATAACTAATGATATTTCCAACAAATAGAATGAAAAAATGCAAACAGATTTCAGTCACACAATCTAATTGAATGAAATAACCGCAAACAGATTCAATGCATAAATCAGCAGAAGTTGTTGCATGATTGAATATCAAATAACCAAAAAAAATAAGGATGTTGCATGATTGAATATCAAATAATTTGTTTCAATCTGATGTGGACTAACAAATGTAAATATCTATATAACATGATTATCAACTTGAAGCAAGAAAATTAGCTTTGCTTTAAACTGAAACAGCTTATGTTAACAATAACTAATGATATTTCCAACAAATAGAATGAAAAAATGCAAATAGATTTCAGTCACACATTCTAATTGAATGAAATAACTGCAAACAGATTCAATGCATAAATCAGCAGAAGTTGTTGCATGATTGAATATCAAATAACCCAAAAAATAAGGATGTTGCATGATTGAATATCAAATAATTTGTTTCAATCTGATGTGGACTAACAAACGTAAATATCTATTTAACATGATTATCAACTTGAAGCAAGAAAATTAGCTTTGCATTAAACTAAAACAGCTTATGTTAACAATAACTAATGGTATTTCCAACAAATAGAATGAAAAAATGCAAACAGATTTTAGTCACACATTCTAATTGAATGAAATAACTACAAACAGATTCAATGCATAAATCATCAGAAGTTGTTCCATGATTGTATATCAAATAACCATCAAAATAAGGATTTTGCATGATTGAATATCAAATAATTTGTTTCAATCTGATGTGTACTAACAAATGGAAATATCTATTTAACATGATTATCAACTTGAAGCAAGAAAATTAGCTTTGCATTAAACTGAAACAGTTTACGTTAACAATACTTAATGATATGTCCAACAAATAGAATGAAATAACATGCAAAAAGATTTCAGTTACACATTCTAATTGAATGAAATAACTACAAACAGATTTCAAGCATAAATCATCAGAAGTTGTTGCATGATTGTATATCAAATAACCATAAAAATAAGGATTTCAAAAATTACATCAATACTCCAAGAACTAAAGCAAATGCATTTTTTTACTTTCACATTCCTATATACATAAATAAACTGTAATACATTGAATAAACTGTAATCATTTTCTCCATTTTTTCATGCATATATTCTCTAAATAATAGACAAACAAATACATAAGTCCGAAAGTAGAAAATAATAAAATGTGTATACAACTACATATGTGAAATTTCCAAGACATTGAACTTATGCAAATACTTTCAAATACTTCCAAGACAATGAAAAAGGTAAAGTGATGTTTCAATGTTTGTAAAATAGTATAACCCATAACATTAGAAATAGTATTTGACTTAATTTAGATATATAGATTTGATTTACACAAGGAAATTTTATACTCACAAAGTTGATGATGTTTCATGTTTACCCATGTCAAGTGTAAAAGACCACCATATCATCTGACCTGCATGTTTAAATGTAAAGAATGTGTTAAGTATATAAAAATTGATTAAGTAAAAGAAACCATCAAAGTATGTGTGAAATTTGTGGAGGCACATAAACCATCAAAACAATGGAGCCACAGAAGTATGTGTGAAATTTGTGATTTTTATGACATTAGTGAGTAATAACAAATTTTACCATATGCATGCAAACTATTTCAAAGAAAAAAGTACACGCTACAACATCAAACAAAGTATATGTGAAAGATATAATTTTTATGACATAAAAACTATTATACACTCAAATAAACTATATACAAAAAATAAACTATTATAAACTGAAGAAGATAAACATACCAAAGTTAAAAAAAACAAAGTTGAACATATGAAACAACAATCTTCCAAAGCAAATGCCTTCGGAACATCTTGACCTTGCTATATACAGAAATAAACAATAATACACTGAAAAAGTTAAACATACTAAAGATGAAAATCAAAACAATGGAGCCACAGAAACCATATGAATGAAAAGCCTTTCTCAGAAAAAAGATCTACGATACATGATCAAAGTATGTGTGAAATTTGTGATTTTTATGATATTAGTGAGTAATAATAAATTTTACATTATGCATGCAAACTATTTCAAAGAAAAAAGTACACGGTACACAATCAAACAAAATATATGTGAAAGATGTAATTTTTATGACATATAAAGAAAAATATAAGAAAAAGAGAGGAAAATGTTTACCCTCAGAAGATGACAGAGGATGAGAGTGAATCGGTGCAGAGAGAATATGAAGAAGAAAGAGAGGGAGAGTGAATCGGTGCAGAGAGAAATGAAAAAGAAAGAAAGGGTGAGAATGAATCGATGGAAAGAGAGGGGAAAATGAAAAATATAAGTTAAACAAAGGAAAATGTTTACCTTGAAGAAGATCACATAAAAAATGATGAAACCATTGAACAAAAATGATGAACACAAAATGGTGAATATAAACAAAAACAATAAAGAAGTTTACCTCGGAGAACGGAAAAGACGAGAAGATGAAAGAAAATGAGAGTGAATCGGTGCAGAGAGAAGATGAAGAAAAAAGAGAGGGATAGTGAATCGGTGCAGAGAGAAAATGAAAAGGAAAAAAAAAAAGAAATGGTGAGAGTGAAGCGGTGGAAAGAGAATGAAAGATGAAAAGAGAGAGTGATTGAGAGAAAAATGAAAAAAAAAAAGAGTGGTAAATTACTTAATTAACCCCAAGCTTTTAAGGAAAATGTAATAAATGAGGCAGGGTTTTTTGTAATCTTCACCCTGCAACAATAAATGTGAACAGTAATTGCAATGATTCAAAATTATTAAAAGTACAAAAATAAACCTAACTGAATAAAAGGAAGAAATTTAAAGGCAGGGGTCTTTTAGTCTACATATTTATAGATTTTCGGTTTTTTTAATTGAAAAAAAATCAAAAGACAACTATACCCTTCAAAAAGGACAGCTGTCAAGCTTAGGATAAACCTATTTTAGGCTTTTCACTAGCCCTTTCAATTAATGTAGATATATAGATACAATATAGTCGCGACCACATTTTAGAACCTTACAAAACTCAAAAGTTCAACATTTGGATACTCAAATTTGTATAGCTAGTTTCAATTGTCTATCAATTCAACCATAGCATATAGCAAAAAGCCACAAACACAAACCACTCAGCCTACTATCTAGTATAAATTATCTCCCACAACTAAATTTTCCGGTAAAATTCAAAACCTTCGAAAATTTTCATAAATATAAAAAAATAAAAACATACACCAACATAAAATCTTACAAAAATTGTGTTATTTTTGTATTCATTTTTTATATATATGCATTTGTATTGAAATGTTGTGAAATACCTTCATTTTCATATTATATATACATTTTTATTTTATATATTATATTTATATATGCATATGTATTGTGGCAGTTGTATTTTGTATACAAATTATGTACAATGTATATTTTGTATTATATATGTGCATATTTATTTTATATTTATTTTCCATTTGTATGTATTATTTATTAGGATAAATACATTTGTATATTTGTATGCAAATTATGTACTATTTATTTTTTACCACCCTATATACATTTATATATTTTTTATTTTATTTAGGACAACGCACAAGTTCATCCTACCTATGTTTAAGGTGGATAGAATATATGTCTTATTTAAAAATAGAGATATCCATGCCCATCCTAACTTAAACGGACATTGCATGGATACCATTAGGATAATCCTAATTGCCAATACTAATTACACGATATAAATGTACCAGATAACAATATAATTATGTCTCAAAGATGTTAGAAAATCAGTAAACTTTTGTTACTAAAATGGTGTTTATTTCCATAATTTACACAGGATGCTAAAATTCATAAATCAAACCTACCAACCTTTATACAGAATTGGAGTTACTATGCTTGTGAAGAGAAACCAAGTTTATCATCACATAAAGAAAATGCTAAATTACCAAATAAAAAAAAGAAGAGAGCATCAACCACTTTTCTTAACATACCAATTGTGGTTCACTAAATCTAACACTAAAACTGCTGCTTCTCTTTCTGCCTCTCTTACCCATATTTGCATTGCCACTTTGCATCATGTCCACAAATTCATTGTAGTCTATTCGTCCATCCTGATATAAAAAAAACATGAACATAACAAAATTATAAAAAAAATAACGGAATTTGAACTTTCATGAAAACATAAATGTCCATTTTTAATATTAATCAGACATGCATGTATCGAGTGAGACTCATCTCCATTAATGGAGAGACAAGTGATGTAAAAAAACAAATGAAATACAACATGCATTGACATTTATAACTTTTTTATTTAAAAGAAGATTACACTTTTGTCCTTAGAATACACATAAAAAAGTCATTTACATTTCCATTAATGTCTCTCCATTAATGAAGAGAAGTCATACTCATAATTATCACCCTAGCTAGTTTTTAGGTTAAGTTAGGTTTAACCTTCGAATGAGTTATAACTTATAACCCTCACGAATATTGGAGAGGGAAGTGCTATGAAAAGTCAAAGAAAAATAAAGTACAATGACAATTATATATTTTTATTTACATTGAGATGACATTTTTACTCTTAAAACTAAAAGAAAAAAGAACTTCTTATTCTAATTTTGGAGGGGATCTTGTTCCCTTTTTTTATATGACCAAAATTTGACCCTACCGATAGGTCATATGTATATTTCTAGTCCTAGGCGTAAAGAGGTATATTAAGATAAATCTCACAAAGATATGAGAATGTGGTCGACTTAATACTTATAATGTTTAGAGAATCCTTATCCTATAATTTAAGTGAACTTAGATAACTCTTTACTAACTTTGGGAATTGAGTAATTTGAGTGATCAATATAGGGAAACATAAAAATAGTGCCAACTTGTTCAGTCAGTGTTCTTTTTTTATTTTGTTTTATTCTACTGCTTCTAAGGAATTAAGAAAACAATCAATAACCAGTCTACCCTACAAAATATCCATTCATTGACGCAAGCAAATAAAGGGAGATCATTTCCTCTCTAAAACGTGTGTTCACTGACCGTATGATTGAAAAATATATATTTAAATTAAAAGTGTATTAAATAAGTTTTTTTGTTGACCAATTACAGAAAGTGTTAAGTGCCACACATATTTTTTGGGATAGAAAATGTACTCGTGTATTCTAACAATCTGAAAAAGGCATCCTATTTTTTCATTATTATGGTATGGTGTAACTATTTGGTTTATTCAAGTGTGAAGTCTCATATTGGATATGTGGAGAATAGTAAAAGAGTTTATAAGTAGAAAATGCCTATGAAACTAATATCTTAAGGTTTTGGTTCAAGACGTGGTGCAGCACCGGCTAAATACTCTTTTCATACCCCGTTAACAATGGAACTCTCGGCTGGTTGGAGGTTCACCGGTCACAATATGGTCCAACAATGGGTTAAATTAAATTTGAATAAAATATATACTCACATTATCTTGATCAGCTTCTGTGATCACTTCCTCAAAGCGAGTATCCTTAATGCCAAATTCTTCACATGCTTGTTGAAGCTCATCTTGAGTGATGTAGCCACTTCCATCTTTATCAAAATATGAAAATGCTGCAACTAAATAATCTTCCCTTTCTATTTTGTTTAAATGCAATGTTGCAGCTATGAATTCCCCATACCCAATTGTGCCACTGTTATTAACATCTGCCTGTAATCCCAAACAAAATAAAGATTAAAATCATCCAAGAAATGTTCTAAAAAAATAAATAACATAGAAATGAATGGAGGATAATCAATTGTCTATATATAAATGGACAATACATAGATATTACGTTCAAATTAGAATACTTATGATTATCGATAAAAGATAGAAGATGATAGTGATGAAGAAATACTTACAGCTTGCGATAGATCGTAAATTTCAGATTCTTTGAGATTAGCACCAAACTTTTTCAGTCCAACCTTGAGTTCTTCAAAAGTAATTTGGCCACTATTGTCTGTGTCTATCATCTTAAACATCTCTCTCAATCCTGCAATTTCCTCTTTAGAGAGATTCTGTGCAATAACCTGCATAGAACAATGTCTAGGAAATTTACAAACAGAAAATTCTGATAATCCAATCAAAAAGTTTATACATTGAGGTTAAGAACTTAAGTTATTGACATATTCTTCTCTCCCTTCAATCTAAACTTTAGTAATAAAAAAAATATATCACAGTTTTAAATTTCTCTAGTGATCACGATAACGTTTGCGGTTACTTTAATTACGCTGTGCGATATGGATTGCAACCGTTGCGGTGTGAACTATTTTGTTATTAAAAAATATTTTTGAATTCGACGCAGTCCAATGCGGCCACATCATTATAATTCAGAGTCATACTGTAATTTTGATGTGACGTGGTTGGAGCTGCGGCAATCACCGCAACCCCACGACCTATTGGTTACCTCTTCCCAAAGAGAAAGGAATAAAGACTGAAGTGACTCAGTTACATGAAATAAAAATAACATACTCTAAGAGCCATTTTCTTGAGTTTGTTCATTGCAGAAAACTGCTTTAGACGACTCAAAACTGCAGAATCAAGAGGCTTGTCTGGAGCTAATCCATCAACCTGAATCCATGGGTGACCTACAAAAAATCAGAACATCAATGTCAATAATCTTAGAAGTCCACATTGGATGGTGGAGGAACTTAGAAAAAAATCTTATGCTATAAATATAAGTTCTATCCCTTCGTATTTTCTCATCCCAAATTGAGTACAATCATTACTCAACTTCTTCTTTCTCTCCCATAATCTTTGTCGACGCATTTCCGGCATAATTCTCCCTCTTTCTTTTCGTTGTACTAGAATTGGTATAACCAAATTATGAGAATTTCGAGAATTGACACCGATTGTGAGAGAAGAATTTCGAGAATTAACATTGATAGTCATATTATGGTCGGTGTATTCAACATTGGTTTTTATAGCGTAGTGATTGATAGTCTAATTGCACATTTTGTGCACTAACACGAAACGTCTTGAAAAGAACGACCTGGTCGTGACTCAGTCAATAACTACTATTTCATGTCAGTTTAGAATTGTTACGACATAAGGTAAGAACATTTTCTCATGTAAAAGAGCAATGTATAAACTTATGGAGAACATCAAAAGATGTTATTGTTTTAGTAGGATCTCTGAGCAGCATCTTCCTAACCTAGTCTTTTGCGCTTTCAGATATAGTAGGCCAAGGATCTGAAGTGAAATCTGCTTCACCATGCAAAATAGC